AAGTTTCTCAAATTCCCAATATGTTCTTCCTCTGTCTTAGCTTGACTATCATATCATCGACAAACTTCTATCTCTTTATGAATCATGTCATGAAATAACGTCACCATGGCCTTTGATATGTTGCCCCGGCGTTCTTCAATCCAAACGGCATTACTTTATAACAAAACGTTCCCCACATGGTAACGAATGTTGTTTTTTCCATATCTTCAGGGTTCATCTTAATTTGATTATAGCCAGAGAAACCATCCATAAAAGAGAACAAAGAATTTCCAACAGTATTATCCACTAGAGTGTCTATATGTGGCAAAGGAAAATTATCTTTTGGACTAGCTCGGTTGAGATCCCTGTAGTCAACACACATTCGAACTTTCCCATCCTCTTCGGTACTGGGACAATATTAGCCACCCACTCAGGATTTTAGCCACTTAAGAAACCCGTCATCAAATTATTTCTTCACTTCCTCTTTAATCTTAGCAACATCTCAGGTCTCATTCTTCTCAGTTTTGCTGTACCGGTTTACATTCAGGTTTTATTGGCAGTTGTGAACAACCAACTCTGTATCTAAACCCGACATATCTTCGTATGACCAAGCAAACACATCCTTGTATTCTTGAAGCAATTCTATCAAATCATGTCGACCTCCAACTGACAGAGTGGTACCAATCTTTACTTCTCTCTTATCCTCATCTGTCCCCAAATTCAAAATCTCAGTATGCTCTTTATGAGGCAGAATATGCTTATCTTCATTCTCCACCATTTTCAGCAATTCAGAAGGTAGTTCACATCTCATCATCATCACAATCTTCGATTTCCCCTTGACATATAGGCTTCTCGAAATCAATCTCGGGTCAGAGTCATTGGCATTCATATTATTGATATCTGAGCTCCTGAAAAAATAATGAAAGAGAAGTATATATACATATACATATGGGAGGATCTTTTCCCATATAAATAAAAGAAATAAATACATACATATACAACAAAGAATGAATGAATGAAATGCATGGGAAAATGTTTGCCATTTGGAACTAACAGAATGCATCTTTTATTGAAAGCAAGAAAAAACAAACAGCTTAACCCTTTACATAAATCACCTATTGCCCCAGGGTATGAACAACAGGGAGAAAGTTCCAGTGCATTACTCTGCAAAAGATTTGTAAACTACAGGCAGTTTCTTCCGCGGTCCAATTGTTCAACACAAAGCCCGGTGGTGCAGGATAATGCCCATAGCTCTCATTTCCTCGGATTCATCATCAGTTATAACATTAATGCCTAATCTCCCAAGGAATTCTCAACCATCGTCTCAGTATTCCTTGAATTCCCTTGAAACATATCCCCCCAGACATGAAAATGCTACTCAACGGCGAGAATGTCATGGGTTCCCAGCTAAGGTCTTCACCAGCCAATCTGGCCTTTCTGATTTCTTGGCCCTTCTTAATTCCCTCATCTTATCCCTCGAAGTTGGCTGATATCCCAAACCAAATCGATCTTTTTAGTAATAGGGCATATGGGATTCACCGGTCCTTGCAACTGTCGGCCTAAACCCTTTCCAACTTTGCTCCTCTTCCAAGAGTCAATTTAAGCCCCATCTTGGTACAGTTTGACAATCGAGGCTTTGGTATCTCTTCGCCTTCGCCACAAACGTAGCATTGACAAACTCTAACAATCTGAAGAACACTCGACGGCTTGCTCATCAACTCAATATACGGAGCAGTAGTAGAAACAAAGCAATAATGTCCTCTTCAGCATGAATACATACCAACCTTCCATCAATCACAAATTTCAGTCTCTGGTGTAATGTGGACGAACTGCACCGGCCTGATGAATCCAAGGCCTTCCCAACAAACAATTGTACGTAGGCATAATGTCCATTATGAGAATCCACTTCATAAGTTGCTGGACCAATATTCAGAGGACATCAATCTTGCCCAACACTTCTCTTTTAGTCCCATCAAAAGCTCGAACCACACTTTGACAGGTTCTCATAAGTGTACTATCTAATGGAAGCTTCTTCAGAGTCACTAAAGGCATCACATTCAAAGTTGAACCATTATCAACCAAGACCCGGACAACACATACTCTTTACATTTAACTGTAATGTGCAAAGCCTTCTGACTACCCATCATCCCAGAAGGGATTTCATCCTCAGAAAAAGATAAAAATTATCAGCTTGTATATTAGAAACTAACCGATCCAACTTTTCAATGGGCAGCTCTTTCGGAACAAAGTCTGGTTCAAAACCTTAACAGAGCATCCTATGGGCCTCGAACTCAAAGTAATGATAAACAGAAATACGGGCAGGCAACTGTGTAACTGTTCCACAACACTGTATTCGCTGTGTTTCAGAAACTTTAAAAATTCTACCGCTTCACTCTCGGTTACTGGTTCATTGATAACAGGCTTATCCTCTTCTATCGCACATCAACTTTTTCCCCTTATCAACTACAACCTTCTTCTCAGACTCTTTAGGTGGATTAAGAGAATAACACCTACCACTTCTAGTAAAGCGTCCCACCTCATCTATTTCCTCATTCTTTTGTTACATCTCCCATTTGGCAATCATATCTCCAAGGCACTTGTTTATTATCCCGATATGGGAATGGAGATGAGGTGTAATAACCACTTTCGGGCTACCTTCTCAGCAACTCGATTTTTGGGAGTAATAATTAGGGGACATGGCATTGTATACCCCTTTAGACGATCATTCTGAAGCGCAAACTTCCGCTTCCTCTTCTTCAACAATCTCTCTAAAGAACTCAATTTCTTTACTGTCCATCATGTCTTGTACCAAAGATAAGAAGTCAGGACATTGCTGAATATTGTGTCCCTCACTGTTATGATACAGACATACCTCTCCATGCTACCTGTTCACCCATCAAACTGGGCTTCAACAATCCTACCTTGACCATCTGCACCACACCCAACTCATGGGTGATACCACCTCACTAACATTTTTGCAATTCTCTTTCCTTTCTCTTCAGTAATCGCGTTAACTCCTGCCCCTGCATGGCTTGGCAACGATTCTGAGCTATATTTGGCTGCTCACTGTCACCAAAGTTGATGACATTCCTCATTCTCAAAGCTTGGACAACCTTCTTAAAAGCAGTACAATTCTCAATGGAATGCCCAGGGTTCCCTGCATGGTACTCACACTGAGCACTAGCATCATACCATTTGGGAAAAGGAGGTGCATTGGTGTCACGTGATACGGCGAAACCACATGCCGATCATACAAAATCTGAAATAATTCCTTATAAGTCATCAGGATGGGGTCAAATTGAGGCCTCTCTCTCCTCTGGTCCCTTGCCCCTTGTCTATTGTCATTTTGTGTCGATGACCCTACTCCTTGAGGACGGGAAACAGTGATGTTATTAGAATCGTACTGCCTCACATTACTGACTTCGTTTTCCTTTTTTCCTCGTTGGTGGCCTCTTACTAGACTCTCCTCCCTCGAGCTTCCCACTCTTAACAGCTATTCAATCATTTCTCCCGCCGTAACTACATCAGCAAACTTCGATAAGGATTACCGATAAGATGCGAGAAAAAGGAGCTTTTAAGGTGTGACAAAAAGCATATTGTTTCTTCCTTCCTCTTCAATGGCGGTGGACTTGCACTGCTATATCTCTCCATCTTTGAGCATATTGTCTAAACTCGTTAGACTTCTTTTCCATTCCTTGCAACATCATCCTGTTGGGTCTAACATCTTTTACATGTTTGTATTGCTCAAGAGAAGACTTAGCCAAGTCTTTCCACGATTTAATATTAGCTCTACTCAGCTGGTTATACCATCGGATTGCCGAGCCAGTTAAGCTTTCCTGAAAGCAGTGTATCAACAATTGATCGTCCCCTATGTATCCGGTCAGCTTCCTACAAAACATTGTGATATGTGCAGAGGGGCACCTGGTACCATCAAACTTTTCAAAGTCAGGAACTTTAAACTTTGGAGGAAAGACCAGATCAGGAACTAGACTTAACTCCTTTGCGTCGAATCCATAGACACTGGTATCTTCCTTCATGGCTCTGACCTCTCTTTCTAACTGCTTCCATTTCTCTTCCAACATATTGTTTTGGTCCTTCTTGGCTTCTTCATCAAGGTCCGGAACTTGATGATATTGATGTTCTTCCTGATACGAACTAGATCCAGGCTGTACGTTAACAAAAGCACAGACTGGATTAATGTGCACCTTCCCGACATGAACAGGGGTCACTTGAACATTCTGAGATTGTTCTAGGGTTAACCCTGGATGATGAAGTGGGTCTTCAGTTACACCTTCTGGCATAGGGCTTTTCCCATGTTCTGGATTTCTTCCTTCCAACATACTCGCAAACTTGGCCAACATCTCCTTTTGGGCATTCATCATATCTTCTTGCATTTTCTTGATATTATCTTGTAACTCCGACTGAGCCTTCTCAATTTGGGCAAGTTTGTCTTCCATAACTTTCTTCCTGGTTCTATAGATATGCTTGGGATTTTCCAGTATTACTCTGTCACAGAGTCATTTTGTTATCGCTGATATTTATTAATGAATATGAAACATATGATTATGAATGAATAAAATGCGATGCCAAAATTAAATGCATTAAAAATGCATATGCAAAATGCAGGGTGTTGATCCCGGAACGACTCCTTAGAACAACTCTTTATATTAGAACGACGTTCAATTACAAAGTTGAAACATATCACAAATAAATCTGCACCATCTCTCCTATTTGCTGTACATGTGCTAGTAACTCTACAATCTTCTGGTTTTCTTCAGCCTCAGGATCCAGTTCTTAAGTCACATCAGCAGCTTCCTCAGATAGAATGACCAAATATTGAGCTATCCCCCGCGCATGGTCTAGGTAACAAGCAATAAAGTCCTCTATTTGCTTAACTCTCACCTGAGCTCGCTCCCACCGAAAACGCCACTGTATATCCCCCTCATAAGGAACTATCGATAGCTCACTTGCTTGCCTCTGAAAATCTTGAACCATGGCTTCAAGCTCGCTCACTTGTCTCTTCAAACTTTCAACTTCTCCCTGGCTCGAGCTACTTTCCTTGTTTCGATATCATCGTAATGCAGTCTCTAAACTTAAAATTTTCTCCTTCAACTTTTCATTATGGGCTTGACTCTTTTGTAACCGCTGCTCTAAAGAATCCTTTTCTTTCGATAAAATTTTCACTTGGTGCCTGCTTTGCTTGAGCTCTTCTTGACTCTCTCCGGCTACTCTTTTGAGGCTCGCCACCTCTTGCCTCAATTCGACAGACTTACTTGAGCTAGAACCTACTTGAGCTTTTACCATTCGCTGATAAGTTGACCGAAGATCGTCAAAGTCTAGCCGAAGTTGCTTCTCTACTTTTTCAATTCGATCTGCTATACTCTTCTGAATGTCAATCTCCAATCCCTTTTGATACACTTCATCTTCCAGTTTCTGCAAAGTCATTCTCCATTGTCTCCGTTCTGCTTTGAAATCACGCTTGGCTAACTCTAATGGAGATGGCACCACTCTCAACTGTTCCTCCACTGGCTGAATATTTTCAGGATTCACCATCGGGATATTGTCATTTACTCGACTGCTTCTCCACTGCTCGAAATCTTGTGATGGCTCGAGATCGTAGGTGAACAACTTCACACGACGAGTCTGTTTCCAAGCTTCAGCAACCCCTCTGACTTTGTTCTTGTATTGATCTCCCTTGAATGCAAAATCTGACCCTAACAAGTCCCTCGTAGCTAGAATGAACTGCCTTGACCCATATTGTCTGGAAACCAACAGAGGTGCATATCCAACATAACCCCATATACCTGGCAAAGGGACCCAATCCCGCTCTCCACACCGATAAAGTATGTCCGAAGTAACATTCCAAGAAGCTCGCCATAGAACATCACCGTCTCTGATATCTTTGAAGATTACCATCCATTTTTCTTCGGTAAAACCTCCAGGCCAATCTTTTGAAAGGAAATCTTTCAAAGGTGAAAACCCGTCTAGAAACACTCGACCTGGCGCCCTCTCGACGTGCTTGAAATGATTGAGGATCCACACTAGCAGTAGGGGTGCACATCCTATAAAGCGTCCTTCTCCCTCTCGTCTGCAAGAACTCAAAGAACGAAATGTCTCTGCTAGGATAGCGGGAACAGGATCCACATGCTTGTCCAATCTTTCGAACAGGTCGACCACTGATACGTCTATGTATCCTAACACCTTTGGGAAGATAACAAGCCCATAAATCCCTAAAGCAAGTAGGTCAAGCTTTTTTCTCTGATCAGGATGACGATTGATTATTTCCTTCAGAGCGGACCAAGGAAAGCATTCACTGTCCCCTTTCTTCTTAATATTTTTTACAACCCAATCCTCACTCATTCCAGTTATCGATAGCAATTTCTTCTTGAACGAAAGAGTGACCGGGGGCTTGGTATAGACCCTATCCGCTTGAGCTCTCGGACACCGGAGCAAAGCTTGATACTCTTCTATTGTTGGCGTCACATCCACTCTTCCGAACGTAAAACAGCTGTAACCGGGATTCCAGAACTGCGCCAGGGCCCTAAACAGATTTCGATCGATTGGAACATCCAGAAGGTAAGATATGTCGCCATACAACTGATAGAATATCTCTTGATCAGCTGCTTCACATCTCTCCCAAATCTCTTGGAGCTCATTCAAATCATTCTGACGCACATTGACGTGAGTGTAGCTAAACAACTCCGACACGTAACCAGGCTTCAAACTATCTCCGTTAGTCAACTGGGATTGCTCCGACCATCTCAAAACCTCTGCATTGTCTTCAACCTCTTTGTGAACCTTTCGTTCCATATTCTGGCCTTCTAATGGACATCGATCCCCAAATCAACACCATGAAATGGATAATGCAATGCAAAGTAAAAAGGAATAAAACAAAAAAAAAGAAAATCAGTTAGTAAACATTAGTTAATTAATCAGGGATAATTTGTTAAAGAATCCTACCCTCACATGCTGGCTACCCAATCATTCTTTATCAGATCGTACCCAACATGATATCTACCCCCATGCTTTGTTATTCACAAAAATAAATCCTAACCGCATGATATCTAATTCGCATGCTTGTTCAAAAAATAAACCTAACCGCATGATATCTAGTTCGCATGCATTTATTCGAAAAAAACGAAAATAAATGACTCAAAAAAGCTTTTCCTTGTGTACCCTCCTCACGGGATTCTTAAGGTTCGGGTTTGGTTCAACCTAAGTTCAGGCTCTACGTTCACTATATGCTGGGTTAGGTTCTAAAGTAATAGGTTCTCGAATTGTCCTTGTCGGTGCCCCCTTGGGCTGCCGAACCCTCAATCTTGGCCCATCACAGGCTTTAGGGGATCGAGTTCAATTTCGAGGGAACACACCTCCTTATGTCCATGCGGAGGTGATTACCATCACGAGGACCATAAGGCGTGGGCTCCAGGAGCGATCCACTATCCCATGCGGAGGTGAAAACCACACGAGGGCATGGTCTCTCACTCCTACTTAAATAGGACGGAGCGGGGTTTTAGCTCATGTTATGACAATGCAGCTGTGCAGTGTGTGAGGAAAAGCGAAAAAACAAACAATAAAAACACTCAAAATCAATTCTCAAAAACACACAATTATTCTGAAATCATTAGCAAACAGATCAGTACAACTATTTAATTGTCAATCAAATTAAATTAAAAAAAAATCAAAATACAAACAAAACTTATTAAAAACCAAACAAGGGATCAAAAATCAAATTAAAACGAATTTGTAATTTTCAATTGCAAAGACAATTAATTAATCGACTATCGGCTTGACTCTCTAAAAAAAGTCCCCAGCAGAGTCGCCAAGCTGTCGAAACGATTTTTCCTTAAAGGTGAAAAAAAGGTGAGATTTAAAAGCCACATTAATTTTTAATTTACCTCTTTCAATTGATTTTTAATTTAAAAACAAATGTGATTTGAAAACCTCTCGTTTCGAAAATTTGGGATTTTTATCACGAGTAAAGAAATGGTTCGAAGAGTCGCCACCGATCTTTGATTAGGGTGTGATCGGACACCCAAAAATGTTTTGCCATTTTAAATAAAAAATTAATTTTAATTAAAATAACGAGTTTAGGTCTGCGTTACCAAAATTTGAGTTCGGGAGTCGGTTACGCGTGGGGAAGGATTAGCACCCCCACAGCGCCCTAAATCGGTACCTCGTCGATTAATTAACGTCTTTGCAATGAAAATTTACAAATTCGAGTTTAATTTGATTTATAATCCCAAACAAAACAACATGCGAATTTTATCATACTCGAAAGCACCAATATTGATTAAGTTAAAATTACCCAACCATTAGAAAGATAAAGAATATTCGATTATTTAAAAATATCGAGACCAGATCTTAAATAGTTATAACAATCTTTTCTCGATAAACTTAAATAACCGAACATTTCTTTTTCTTCCTTTCCAAATTTTAAAAGTGATCAATTAATTTTTATGTGTTACTAATGGGATATACTTCTAATTTAAAATAGTTAAAAGCAGATATCTAATCAGTTAAGACAACCCACTTAAGACAATTTTAAATTAAAAGGATATACCCTTAATCAAATTATGTAATAATGTCGGGTTATGCTCATGAGGATATCATACGAAGACTAACTAAAATATGTCATGCATTCAAACAAATTTCTAAGTCTATAAAAATATTCACATGCATTTATGGTTATCTATTTTACAAAGGAAATCTTAAATTCTTAATATTCTAAGATTATTAAACCTATCATACTCCTATTAATATGTTACAAGGGCTTTCATGTTAAATAAATTATACGATATATGTATACATACATTAACACGCACATTCATTAAAATAAAATAAAAACCTACTGTGAATAACCCAATCTTGAATTTAATATTACCATAAAGGATGAAAATAGCTAAACATCAAATTATTAACCAAAATACAAATTGATTAGTACATCACTCAAGTCTGCCATAGGACTAAATTGTCAAACATCAAAACTCACAAGCTAAATGCAAAAATAAACGAAAAATGAAAAATAACATAAGCTGGTGACCAAAACAGAATGCGCGTGAACTAGTAGAACCGAATTACGAAAACGGAAAAGACTGACTCAAGGACTAAAATATAATTAATTAAAAGATACTGGACTTCGCACCTGATTACTCCCTAACGACCTAAAGCACGGATGATGATATAACTCTCAAAACGTCACCGTCTCGACCCATTCCAAACGACGTCGCATCACTCCCGGACTCAAAACGTTTCCGTTTTGGCTCAGTTCTAAACGACGCTATTTTGGTTACTGGATGTATATGATACTTAGGGTAAATTTTTTACTCGGTTCATTATTCTCTTCATCCTTAAACCGACCCTCGCCGTTCTCTCATCCTTTCTCCCTCAACCCTCAACGAGACCCAAACCACACCGTGGTTGCCATGGCCACCCCTCCTAGAGCTCCGGTGCAGAACCACACCGATATGATCCCAACCCCAAAAACAAACCTGAACCCAAAACTTCTAATATCTCGACAAAATCAAGACCCATACACCACCACTCTTTTTCTTCCCTCAAGGCTTCGCCGAGAAAACCCAAAACCCGATCATCTCCCCTCGCTCAGGACCTAGACTCGCAAGCCAAACCTAAACCTCATCGAGGACCCTCCTAAACCCCTAAAATCAACATAGATCTAAGGTCAAAAGAGGTTACCTTGAACGACTGGTGGTGGCCTTGACCCTAAGCGATGTGAGTGAGTTTCTTCAGACGAATAAAGGTACGGGGTTCGTTTTCTATTTTTCAGCTGTTTCACTCTCTGGTTCTGAATGTTTTTCTTTGTTTCGTGAATCTCTCGTTTGCTGTGGTTGATCTTTCTTTCCCTTACTTTCTGTTTTTTTAAAAAGCTCTTCTTCATTTCGACCCTACCAGATGCCATGGCCACTATGGTTTCACTCCTCTCAACAGTTCCGACTAGAAACCAAACGAACCTCGATGAACATTCTACTAAAGTAAGGTAGACATTAACTCCCTCTCCCTATTATCTAGTTTACTCCTCTTATTTTATACTTGGGTTTTGGTTCGAATGGTACTGATTGGTAATGGCTTTAGGATAAACGACACATGTGTAGGGGAATTCGAAAAATTTATTTAGGCTTTATTGCAGTAAATAAAATCAAAATCTAGAATTTCCTATTCTGTTTTTTTTTAAAAAATAACCTAAACACACAAAGAAATTGGAAGAACAGTAAAGAAATCCCAGAAAAATACCTCGAAAATTCTTGCAGTTTTAATGCTTTTCTGCAAAACGAGTCTATTACACTGCTTGATCTCTGAATCCTTGAACGTTTTTTACAGAACTTCTTTTTTTTCTATTTGTTCTCTCTTTTCTTTTTCGCTGTCTGATTTTTCTCTTTTTTTTGTCCCCCATTTTTTTGATTGTGTTTCTCTCTCTTTTTTTTTTCGATTAATAGTTTTAGTGGTTAAAAACCCCCTCAAAACTGACCATTTCCTCCATTTACAGTTTTTTGATAACTCACAATACCCCCCACTCTCTACAAACCGTTCCCTCTAGTTTTTTCTGGTTTCTTAACTTCCCAGACAAATTAAGCATCTACAATAATAAATACGAAATAAATTTATAAGTCATATTAACATTTTTAAAAAATCCGAGAGCCTCAAATATCATAAAATAAAAGTTACATTTGAGTTAGTTATTTGTTAGTTTTTTATAATACTTTAGTTAGTTGTGCACGGTTATTTCTGCATGTCACCTTATAATTTAACTTGAGGTAAACTACAATAACAGTCACTTTTATTTCATTTTTATTTATTTTTAGTAACTGATTTTGAACAAGTAACATTTTCATCATTTACATTATGATTTCTAATATTTTAATCACTAATTTTAAGCTAGATTTATGAAGTTTATTGTCTCTTTCTATTAAGCAGACATTGAATTCAAGTTTATGAGATAAAAAAAATGAGTGGATTAGAAATTTGAGGTCTAACAATCATCGACAATGATGGCCGACTTTGATCAATGATGATGGTGAGCGACGTGCGGTTATGTGAGACTTTGATCGAATTCAAAGGTTAAATTGATATTTTATTTTAACTTCAAGGATTGAATTGATATTTATCTAGAACTTAAAGATCAAATTAATATTTTTTTTCTAGGATTCAAACGATACACTAACCCCTTCTAACGTATCATGTTATCAAATTAACAATATTTAAAGTCCAAGTGATCAAGACATTATAAATTCGATAATACTAGTGACCGAAATGTTATAAATCAATATCATTAATGATATTAATATTATTGAAAAATTAGTGACTAAAAGTGAACAAAATTAAAATAAAAGTGATGATCTAATAGTTTACTCTTTAATTGGCCGTCTAAATCAGCGATTCAAATAAATTCAGTGAAAAACTAAAGGAACTTGCAGAGTATAGAAAGAAAGAAAGAAAGAAAGAAAGAAGAGGTTTGATGTTTGCTCATAAAGATTTAAGCTAACAGAATTCAGACTATCATAAACCGTTGCTCTTTCACTCCACTTCCCGACAATAATCAAGGGGCCCAATGGTGCTTTCCGTGGAAGAGCGCTCAACGGCGGAGCCATCTTCTTCTTCACCGTCATCATCGTCGCCCACTGCTTCTTCGCAAGGCGTTAACTACCTTGCCAAGTCTGTACTTAGAGGAAGTGTTATCCTGCAGGTCGCTTACGGTCACCTCCGCTCTCCTTCTTCATTGGACGTCGTTTTCGGCAAGGTCCTTCCTCTTTTTCATTTCTTTTTTTATTAATCATGGAATTCGATCAGTTTAC